AGATTGAAACTAAATATTTTTTTGTTTCGAAGTTGAAATCAAGGCATATTCACTGCCAAAAGTCAGTTAAAAATTTTCCATATTATTCGTTATTTCTTATTTTATTCAAAGTTTTTGGTCAAATTCCAAATTTTCTCTCAAACCGTATACTTTTCTTTAGTATAGATAGTATTTATTTACCTCACAATATGCTGCAAAACCTAATTAATCACGAATTTCTAATTTTATGTACTCTTGACTCCGATTGTACCTCCCAAACATCCTTAAGCAGTTACAAGCAGTTTATCACATACGTAAAACTGATTTTTTCTATTGCTCGAGAACAGTATTTCGCTCTCGATAATGTCTTAAATACGTGACAAAGATCACCGAAAATACAATAATTTGATAAATTTGTTCGAAAGTCCTGAACAGGATTATCAGGATAAAACGAAAGTTTCTAATTTTATAGGTTAAACAGACACTTTAGGTAGAATAAATATTGAACACTGAATAAATAAATATTGTCCTTCTTTTGTTTACATGAAAAGAAGTTTTTCTATCCCTCAGGAACAGTAGGTTTTTTTTGGATAAAGGGTACTTTATGTCCTTTTTTGTACCCGTAATAATATGCGTACAAAATTTCACAATGATAGTTATTGTGTAGTTAAAGCGTGAAATGGTAACAAACAAACTCATTCGAATTTATATCAGGATGTTAAACCGTGCTGGGTTGTATAAATCTAGTTCAAACAAGTTTGCTACATGCCACAGTATATATTTTCATATACAGATAGGAAATATAGTTCCAGACATATTTTGGTAATCTGTCCGATAAAGTACAATTTTAAAGACGTTAGGTTTTTAACTGTAAAGATAAAATTGACAAATCTGGATAAACTGAAGTCCATAAACAATACATTTAGAATGTAGTTCCTTATTTATTAAGGACAAACCTCCGAAAAACAATTCAAATATTACAAACTACTTCTTAAGTAGAGCAACTTTCATCTCCAGCTACATCACAAAATCTTCATCCCTAAAACTGGTTGGGCATGCACCTTTACTTCTTCCTATATTGAGTCAATCTTCCCATTTCTCCAAAACTAGAGCAACTTTCATCTCCAGCTACATCACAAAATCTTCACCCCTAAAACTGGTTGGGCATGCACCTTTACTTCTTCCTATATTGAGTCAATCTTCCCATTTCTCCAAGATTAGAGCAACTTTCATCTCCAGCTACATCACAAAATCTTCACCCCGAAAACTGGTTGGGCATGCACCTTTACTTCTTCCTATATTGAGTCAATCTTCCCATTTCTCCAAAACTAGAGCAACTTCCATCTCCAGCTACATCACAAAATCTTCACCCCGAAAACTGGTTGGGCATGCACCTTTACTTCTTCCTATATTGAGTCAGTCTTCCAATTTCTCGAAAACTAGAGCAATTTTCATCTCCAACTACATTATTAAAAAATAGTTAAGGTCATTACAAAATAATAGACAAGTTTTTGTTTTTAAATACGTGTTATGTCAGTGTGGACCAACACGCCATCTTTTCGTGGTAGAATACTACGTTACGTAAAATTTTGGATAATTTAATTATTTACGTCGTTTTTCTAACGTGGTGGAGCGAGGCCACTTTTTATTTCCAATAGACCCGTTTGTATAGTTTGTATTAATTTTATTAGATCACTACACGGGTGCCTTACCTACCAAAAATTCTTATATTAGTTTATAATTAATATCCGCCTATACTTAATTTAAAGTTCCTTTCAGAACTGTAGAATTTGTGTATCTAAATAACAAAAAACAAAAATGAATTAGATTGATACAACTATAGCGAAAAAGCAAATGTACATGTATCAGTGAAAGGAGACTCTGGATATTAACGAGGCAACTGTAATGATAATAGGTAATGAATAATACGAATCTAGGAACTGCTAAATATTGCTTTGAATAAAAGCTTCCCATTACTCGAAAACTAGAGCAATTTACAACTCCAAGTACATCATAAGATCTTCATCCCTAAAACTGGTTGGGCATGCACCTTTACTTATATATTGAGTCAATCTTCCCATTTCTCCAAAATTAGAGCAACTTACATCTCCAGCTACATCACAAGATCTTCATCCCTAAAACTGGTTGGGCATGCANTTTCAATAGATATCTCGCCTTCTTTGACGATTGCATGTAATAAAGATTATCCCCCTGTTCAATTCTCAATTTGCTAATAGTGTGTATGAATGTTACGAATTCTAATATCATTAATACATAAATATAAGGGAAACTAAGTTTAGATATTCGCGATCTGAATCTATTGTTAGGAAATCATTAAGCGCACTAGGTAGATCGAAAATAATACCTTCATGTTTAATTTAAGTGCATACTAACACTTAGATGTTAATCAAAGGTAACTTCTTGAATCTTAACTTAATCTGACGCCTGAGAAATTTTATATTCGTTGTCAAATACACTGCAGACTGGTAATAAAATTGCTCTTGATTAAATACACTTTTAAGTTCATATACTTAACATTTGCTCTGATAAATGCTAGCGTAAATAATGAATTGATCGCTAATGGATGTAGTAAATTTCAATATTAATTGATTACCTATTACTGAACTAGCAAATATAAAAATATTAGGTATATTTACTACTTACATTACAAGTTTCCTCTTTGGGTGAAGAAAAGAAAATTTATTTGGAGTTGTCTATTACCTGTAATAAAAAAACATAGATGTAATTCGTCAAAAATGAAAATGAACACTTAATTTATGTATTAAATTAAAATTAAATTAAAAAAACAGTAATTTTGTTAATCTTATCATTGAGAAATCGGCATTGTTGTTTATAAACAAAAATTGGCCTATTAGACGTTTAACGTTTAATTTTATTTATTATCCATATTTCGATAATAAAGTTTATTACTGGTATAAATTTTTTGTTTATTTGATATGAACTTGACCTTCACCATCCAAAAATTGAACATTATCATTTGAAGAGAAAGTAATTGTAAACCCATGGTACACATATTGTATTTTTATATGACAGCAAGACACGAAAATAAATGATCAATGAATAAATAGATTAATGCGAAATTGTAAGATTAGATAAGGTATTCATGGTCAATTCCCTTTAACGCTGTTTTCGTGTAGGTACTTGACGCACCTTTTGCTTTTTTGGTATGCTTCTTTATTTGGTACATTTTTTTAAAAGTAATTAATGTAGTATACTTACAATTAGTTCTACACATTTTCACTTTTAACCAATATAATAATTAATTATTTTATTTACTAAAGACTATTAATTTGTAATTTAAAATCTTCCATGCCTACGCCTCGAATTCAGGCAAGACGAACGAATGTCGTAACTAACTTTGTATTCCATGTGTAATTTTTCAAATGTGTTACTGTATTGTTTCACTTCTTTTATGTGTTTTTGGTATTACTATGAAGGGTGCGTTACACGGTACATGGTCCGGTACGCCAGATATGCGATTCGGCAAACTACGCTCCGCAACATGGTGCGGGAACGGACATGAGTGTTTTGGTAATGTTGAAAAGTATTATAAATTTTCGTTTCACACATGGAAAATTGAAATAATGTAAAGTATTTCTTAAAACCCATTCATTTTCTGTAATATGTATATTTTTTACATAAATAACATTGAGAATATAGTCATTTGGTTCGAAAAATAGTGGTTACCTGAAAAGTTTTCCGGGAGTTTTGAAAATTGGTAATTTTATAGATTTTGATGTGCTCTCTCCTAATTTCCACTTTGCCACCTCGTATTTATGCCGCTCGCGCCGCCATATTGGAAAAATGACACCAAAAAGCAGCTTTTTGACAATATCTCCTTTCTGACTCATTTGACGATAAAAACAGTCATATACAAAATGAAACTAGAGACAATTACCTACAATTTATGTCTGTACCTTTTTTTTCATAAAGTTAATAGTTTAGGCGTACGAGCGCCGCAAAGTGTATTCCAACACGCATTTTTGCCAAAATAACTCATTTTCACACAACCTTGAGGTAGAGTAAGCGGCGCGTTTTTTTTAACGTGATATCCCCAATAGGCCTAATCCACATGCAATTTAATATCCTGAAATTTAGCGTATTCTCCTTCACTTTGTTGTTCTTGATGGACCAGGTGTTGCAAATTCATCGTCTGCAGTACCATTCGAAACGTCACAGGCCAATATGGCCGGGCGAGCGGCAAAAATACGAGGTGGAAAAGTCGAAATTTGGAATGAGCACCTCAAAATCTATAAAATTACCAATTTTCAAAACTCCCGGAAAACTTTCCAGGCAAAACTACCAAATGACTGTACTAATAGTTTCAATGTACACAATGTAGTTTTAACAATACTATTCATGATAATTCAAACAACCTACTTTACCTAATGTAATTTGTTTGTACATATATGCAAAAATGTTGTAACAATGAGACAAAATTCAATCTGAACTCCCACATTAAAAAATGTAGGTATACATTACATAAATAAAACATGCAATAGTAGGCTTTGTTATGGCCGCTGATTTTCTACAAGGAGTTTAAAGATTTTAATTACTTTCCGTGCATCAAGAATAGAACGTTGCCACTTGGATAAGTTTCCTTTTTCAATTTAAAAAGTACATGCTTTGTTACCGTTTTATTGCTATTTGCCGTTACTTTGTTGAAAAATGAAATTGGAATTTGTCACTTTCTACAATGAAATTTCCTATCTTTAAATGTCTTTAGAAGAAAATGCTAAATGTATCTCACGAAAAACTGCTCTTATTATGGGGATGGTTTTTCATATTGAAAGCAATAAGATTTTCTTTACTTTATTCTTTACCAAGTTTGCTCAACTATCTATCGAAGAAACAAGAAATTTTTTATATTCAAAAGAAATTGTTATAAACAGTGCGTAAAAAGCGGTATTTAAAACATTACCTAAACTTGATGCTTATGATCACAACTGCATAATCTAGTGGAATTTTTGCACTTTCATTTTTTGTTTATTGTTAATGTCTTAATGTGGTTTCCCTCGTCGTTCCAGGATAAATCGAAGATGGCTTCGTTTAAACAAAAGATGCGCAGCCTAATGTATAACAGACTTCCGATATTAAAGTGGGCGCCTAATTATGGAACTAATAAATTAGTAAGCGATGCAGTCGCTGGAATAACAGTGGGCCTTACGGCTATGCCCCAAGCTTTAGCCTATGCTACATTAGCAGGGCTTGAACCACAGGTAAGAGCCAACAACACTTTTGGTCGCCTCTGGAAGCAGCCACTTGTGGTCGCCTCTGGAAACAGCCACGTGTGGTTTATACCTGTCCACCACTAGCTGGTGTCACGAGTGGCCGCCACCAGATGTTATTGTAAGACGCTGGGGGTTGATTCATACAAAAACCCCTTTTATTTTAGTAAAAATGTCAGCCAGCAACAATTGTTGGAAAACGAGTTATTTATGGCAATTCTGGTAAAGGTTTAGATGATGGCTCCCACCCCCGAAGGGGGGAGATCTCCTCCACTACTGTACCATAAAAAGTTCGTGGCGGTCTCACCCCCATAAAAAGTTATGGGGGTTCAAAGTTAATAAATATGCCAATTTTTATACNCTAAAACTGGTTGGGCATGCACCTTTACTTCTTCCTATATTGAGTCAATCTTTCCATTTCTCCAAGATTAGAGCAACTTTCATCTCCAACTACATCACAAGATCTTCATCCCTAAAATTGGTAGGGCATGCACCTTTACTTCTTTCTATATTGGGTCAGTCTTCCTATTTCTCTAAAACCAGAGCAACTTACATCTCTAACTACATCATAAGTCTTCATTCCTAGAACTGATTGGGCATGCAGCTTTACTACTTTCTATCTTGAGCCAATCCTCCCATTTCTCGAAAACTAGAGCAACCTACATCTGTAACTACATCATATGGCCTGCTCACCTTTATTACTTCCTACTTTGAGCCAATCTTCCGATTTTCCGAAAACTAAAGCAACCTATATTTCTAACTACATCATAATAAGGTGGTTAACTTGAGGACTGGTTGGACACGTAACCTTACTTTTTCTTATATTGAGTCAATCTTCCCATTTCTCGAAAAGTACAGCAACCTTCATCTCTAACTACATCATAAGGTCTTTATCCCTAGAACTGGTTGGGCATGCACCTTTACTTTTTCCTATATTGAGTCAATATTCCCATTTCTCGAAAACTTGAGTAACTTACATTTCTAACTAGATCATAAAGTCTTTAATCTGAGAACTAGATGGAAATGCACCTTTACTACATTCTATATTGAGTCAATTTTCCTTTTTTTTCAAAACTAAAGCAAGTTACATCTCTAACTACATCATAAAGTCTTGATCCGTAGAATTGATTGGGCATGCACATTTACTACTTTTTATCTTAAGCCAATCCTCTCATTTCCCTAAAACTAGAGCAGCCTACATATGTAACTACATCATAAGGTCTTCATCCCTAGAACTCGTTCATCGTGCACCTTTACTACTTTCTATCTTGAATCAGTACTCCTATTTCTAGAAAATTAGAGCAGCTTATATCTCGAACTGTTTGCGAACGGAAATCTAGGTCTACCTCGAGCTCTCTGAAATCCTACTTCTGCTTTCAATATGTAACTAGTATTTCATGTCTTATTGTGAGAAGCAATCGTACCATCTCACCTATTTCTTATTGACTTCCGTAGCGCCCCTGCTCTATCGTTTTCTATCTATTTTTAACAACATAATTCAAACGCTTTTCTATTTGTGCTCATTGTCCACGTTTACACCCTATTCACAAATGAAGTTTTCTATTATCGAAACCACCTATAGTGTGGAGATAATATATCACATTTTCGATACATTAAAGTGCGATTATACATATACAAACTGCAACCGTGCATTTCATCATATCTTAAAATGACGTAAAAACTTGAGTAGCTCTTAATTAATAATTATTGATTAAGAACTTAATCCGTTTTTACTCATGACAAATTCAGTATTAGCTCAATTTGTAAACAAAATCAAAAACAGTCTAAATAAACTGCAACCCTCGGAAAAACTGTCCATTATATTGTTTGCGATCATGAACCCTAAATAATGGAATGGACTATCTTTAAAAAAATACGATTTTCCTGAGAACCATTCCCTTTAACGTTTTAGATCTTTGGCTAAAAATACTAAGAATTTCTTCATTAATGTGGTAAGTAACACCGGTTTTCAAATCATCTTCTAGATTCCTCAAATTCTCAGGCGTCAAAAAACCGGAAGCTTCGTTGTATCCAAAACATAGTACTAACTAATTCGATGTTCTTCATATGTTTCCAAATGCGAATGCAGATTTTTCGTCAAAATTTTTTTTCAGTAAAAAATTATTGTTCGTGTCTTCGTTTCTTAAATCTTTCAATTCCCTCAATATCACTGAAAATGTCAGCCACAAATGAAGACGAAACGTCTGAATCTAACAGTTCGTAATTTTACCACGGATTCCAGTCGCTAAAGCTTACATTCTTAATTAAATAAGGATTATTATTGATCTCAAGGAACATACTTGAGATGAATAGGTACTACAATTCTTACTCGTGACGTTTCGTCAGCGATTTATTGTTGACGACGCGCTGATGAGATCCAAAAAGATCGAAATCGCGATCCGCGTCTGGCAGTTTCGATAGAATACAGACCACTTCGAATTATTTTATTAGTTTGGAGGTTGTTAAAAATATTCGTTTTATTATATAGACCCTTGAGGAAGCTACCCTTTGAGGGTTAGACGTTGGGACATCGTAAATAAAAAACAGTAAGTCTTCAAGGATTATACACGGAACGTGGCAGTAACTATACCTAGAAAGAGAGGCACTGATAGGTGCGAGACATTTAGCACAATTAGCTTAGCTTCCCATGCGTCAAAGACTAGAATTGTACAGAGGAGGATGGAAAAAAGGGCGGATGATCTACTAGCGGAAGATCAATTTGGGTTTGGAAGAAATAGAGGAACGTCGGAGGCCATTCTAGTTTAACGGGTAACAATAGAGAAAACGATAGAAAAAGGAAAGAGTGCGTACATAGGGATTTATAGATTTAGAAAAGGTTTTGACAATCTTAAATGGGACAAGATGTTAAATATACTCAAAAATATAGGGATGAGTTAGATATAGAAGAGTGACACTAAGTTTGTTTAAGAACATTCAAATTATTTTATAACTGTGGCTAAAAATACTAAGAATTTTGCCATTAAAATGTATTAAAAAATATCTCTGGTATTCAAATCATCTTCTAGATTCTTCAAATTCTCATGCATCAAAAGGCATAAAAAAACTGATAGCTTCGTTGTATCAAAAACTTAGTGGTAACTGATTCGATGTTCTTCATATGTTTCCAAATGCGATTTTGCAGATTTTTTTTAATTCTGTATGTGTCTTCGTTTTTTAAATCTTTCAATTTCCTCAATACCATTGAAATCCAGTTGAACTTGCACAGTATTTATCACGCTGAGTGCTTATTTCCACTAAAACAATTTGAGCAAAAACAACCAATTGTACCGAACGAGCATTTATTGCACCTATTGCATCTTCCCTAGAAACTGAAGCTCATAAAATTTCATCCTCTATGTAATTAATGATATATTAAAAATGCCGCTGTATGAGTGCCTGGGGACTTTCTGCAATGTCCCTTTAAGCTGGTGTGAATTCCGTCTGAAAGTTTTCCAGACCATTTTCCAACCCGTTAAATCCGCTACTGGTAAGAATTTTATCTGTTCGTATTTATTTCAAAAATAAAATACGCGACACAAATTACCGTAAAAACAATTAAAGAAAAATAATTGCAAGATAAATTTATAAAAAATTGATAAGATATATATAGTACCTAATAATAAATTCAGTTAAAATTTATAAATTACAAACGAGTTATAGCATTATTACCAGTTGTGCTGTTAATGCGTTATGTTCTTGCAAAAAGCCAATGATAAAAATCGAAGGTTCGACAGCGAGCGGTAGATAAAAAGCTTCAATCACACTTTTATTCGCGGTCAATAATATGTTGACACCGGGACGAGAAAGCGTTTGCTGCTGTATTATGGTTCAAATGGCGGGTAGTGCAAAAATATTAAAACAGTTGCGGCACACTTGATGTCATTATACCTTCGTAAGTTCGCGCTGAATGTTAATCATATACTTACATACGTATATCTACATGTAATAATACGTACTAATCGGTTGATTTGTTTTTAATAATTATAACATTTTACTCATAACTGGGGTAAGTAAGTCTTGGGTTAATAATTGATACTTCAAAATTGATAAATAATCAAGCATAAACGCAGTTTGTTTTGAATCAAAAAGTGAAAGTGATTTGTGATTTAAAAGAAGAACAAAAATTGTAACTCGCGTGCAGTGTTCCGCATCATGTTCTTGGAACTGTGCAATTTAAAATCAAGCATCCCTTAAAAACCACAGCCGCAAAATCGTTCTTTGAAAGAGTAAGTTGTAGAACATGATTATTATTAAAATCAGATTAATAGTATTATATTATGCATCCAGGAAGGAAAGTATGACATTCTTCTAATTGTTATCCTAGTTGAAGGGAAGGTATTCTTTTGCCGTATTTTCTTCTCGAAACCCTTTACCAAAAGTACGGTTTTTCCTTATTTTAGGGGCGAGAAAGTGAAACCTTGTTTCCCTAGTAAGAAATTACATTTACTTCTTATTGGGAAAATACACTGGACGTCCCCTTGTGCAAGTAAAAACCACATGATTGATAAAATCCTTTCCCAATAAGGAGTAAATACAATTTCTTACCCGAGGCGAAATGCTACTCTGAATTCAGGGTAAAGTATCATACTTCTGATAGGGTATGGTAAAATGGATTGGACTGTTAATAATTTTGGTATACTTAAAGTATAAATAATTTCCCCTAATGATTCATATATAATCAACGAATAGCCGAAACTGTGTTCAATTGAATGAAATATTAGCAGAATATTTTGGCCATTACATTGGAGTACTAAGAATAGATTTTGCGAATGTCCCTTTCTAAAGCATAGAAAAGAAAAGAGAAAGTTTAAAAATCTCAAATATAGTAGAGTGACGTGCCATTCGATAAATTCTAGGAATGATAAATGTTCTTTTATTTCTTATCAGAATCATAGTTCTTAAGGATGTTTGAGAGGTATGTCAAAATACTAAGAGACAAATAAAAATTTGGAAGAATGTTCCTCACTATTCTAAAACTCCTGTAAAAATTA